CGTGGGGACAGCAGCTAGGGGACACGGGGTGTGGGGGTTGTCCCCAAACTGTCCCCATGGGGTCAGCAGTTCTTGTGGGAAAGTGTGTCTGGGTGGCCCCAGAAGATATTTGGCAAAGCAGGGAGACATGTCTGTGGCACAGCCACCCGTGCACCACATCCGTGTGGCACAGACACCTTGGGAACAGGGACACTGAGGCCACTGGGGGCTGGGGCAGAACATGGGGACACCGTGGACACCCCGGGCACGAGGACAGCACGGACACAGCCCATGCTGGCCCAGGTCACGCCCAGCAGCTCATGATCCCATCCCCCTGATCCCATCCCCATGGCCACATCCTCACCGTTCTTGTCCCCTTCTGTCCCTGCATCCCAGTTCCCTTGTCCCCATCTCCGGAGCTGCCTAAGCCCAAAGGTGCCAGTCCCCACATTCCTGTCCCCACATTCCTGTCCCCAAATTCCTGTCCCCAAATTCCTGTCCCCAAAGCCACCCTACATCCCCAGTCCCACCAGTGTCCACTGTGGGTACCATGGACTGGCACTGCTGGCATTGGGGACCTCAGGGGACCCTGCAGCCCCCCTGTGCCCCCTCCCCATCCCCAGGGTCTCAGCCCCGTGCCCGGGGCACTCACCCCACAGGAGCAGCGCCACCTTCCCGGCCATCCCGGTGTCCCCAGCCATGTGCACTGGCTGTCACTCGCTGCCCAGGGGTGGCTGTCCCCTGGCTGGTGGCTTTTCGGAAAAAGGGGAAGGAAGCAAGATCAGATCTTGTCCTCACGTGTTGGTGGTGGCCCTTGGTGAGGGCACGGTGGCCACAAGCACGGGGTCATGGGGATGTGGCCGTGGGGACAGGCTGTGGGAAGGGTGTGGACCGGATGGGGACAAGGCTGGGGGGGACAAGGTGCAATATGGGGTTCCCAGGAGTGGGGGGCTCAGAGGGTTTGGGGGACCCGGGCAATGGGTGTCCAGGGGAATGGGGGCTCCCAGGGGAATGGGGTCCCTTGGAATGGGGGTGCCCAGGGCTGGGGGGACTCAGGGATGGCAGTGCCAGGGGAACATGAGCTCCAGGGATTTGGGGTCAGGGGATGGTGGTGCTGGGGAAATGTGGGTTCCCATGGGAATAGGGGGTCCCGTGGGAATGGGTGCTCCCATGGGAATTGGGGGTCCTGGGACAATCAAGGTTCTGGGGAAAGGAGGATTTTTAGGGGATGGAATGAACAGGAGAGGGTTCCTTGGGAATGGGGTGCTGGGCCATGGAGATCCTGGGGAATGGCAGTGCTGGGATGGGGGTCCCAGGCACGGTGGGACACAAGGAATGGGGGTGCCATGGTTGGGGTTCCAGGGGAATGGGGGTGCCTGGGAACGGCAGTGGCTGGGTGGGCCAGTGGGTCTGAGCTCCTTCCCTGGGTGTCTCAGATTTTGGGGTGACCCAGGGCCCAGCAAAGCCCCCTTGGGCTGCTCATTTCCTGGGCAGGCATCACTTGAGGGTCCTGGGCTGCTTTGCTTCTGTGCCCTCTCCCACCCTTGAATTTTTCATCTCTTTATTTCTCTGATTTCCTTATTTTCCTCACTTTTGTACCACGTCCCCTCACCCCCTGTTCCTGACTCAGCAATCCCGGGGAGCACCTGAGCGGGGAATGGGTTGGGGGGCGACAGGGGAGGGGAAAAACGGGGTGTGAGGGGTGCAAGGATGGGTGGGGAGGCTGTGGGGATGGAGGTGTTGGGCTGTGCTCTCTCAACAGTTTCACTTTCTTTTCCTTGGACAGGAAGGAAGCGGCCATTTGTGCTGAGAGTCAGATGGGAAAGGGAGGGGGTTCTGTTCTGGGGGGGCACATCCAGGGTGTCCTGTCCTGAGGGGATCCTGTCCCAGGGGGTGGCACATCCTGGCATGGGGGGACCTTTCCCAGGGGGTGGCAGTTCTAGAAATGTCCCTGCACATTCCTGGCCGGGTGCCTGTCCCAGGGGTGGCACATCCTGGGGACCCCTGTCAATGCAAGGCTGGGGCCCAGCCATGGCCCAGCCTCACTGCACAGGGATGGCCATTGCCCAGCCCTGCTCTGGCCAGCCCCAGGTGGCAGCCAGCACCTGAGGGTCCCCATTGCCCCCTTGGCTTTGATTCTGGCAGCTTTAGAGCTGCTGCAGAGGTGAGAATTCTGTGGGGGAAAAGGCCTGGCTGTGGTTTGCTCAGCCCTGCAAGAAGCACAAAACCCAAAGGGAGCCCAAGCAGTGTCTCTGCGAGCCTTTGATGGTTTCCAGAGCAGGGCTGGCTGGAAATCCCCACTGCAATGGCAGTTGTGGGGATACCAGTCCAGAAATGCAGCAATTGATCATTTGTTCCTCTTGGTAAGGGACTGTGAGAACCACAAAACTACTGCACAACCCACAACATTCTGCTCAACAACCTCACCTGGACCCTCCTTCTTGAACAAAACCCGCAGCCTTCTGGAACCTGACGGAAAGAATGTTTGGGTTTGGGATGTGTCTGCCAGACAAGAGGGAAAAGTGTGGGAATACCGAGCAGGGGCTCTGCTGGCGGCCGTGGTGGGGCTGTGAGGAGTGACCCTGTGTGGATTCCAGGTGTCCCCAAAGCTGCTCCATCCCTGCCCTCCTCACCTGAGGGAAAGGCTGAGGGTTTGAAGGAATTGTGGTGTAAAGCCACCATAGGGGCTGTTGTGGACCCGAGACCTGCCTGGGGTCAGGCGCTGCTTTCCTTCCATTTGGGATCACGGAGAGTGGATGCGGGTGTTGTGCAGGGTGTGTGCCTGGCCCCGGGACACTGCTACGCTGCCAGTGGGCACTGGGATCCAACCTGCTGCCTTGGCGGCTTCTGCCTGCTGCCGGTGGTGGTGCCGGGAGCGATTGGTGCCCGTGAGTTTGCAACAGGAGCGATTTCCCCTCCTCCCTCCCTTCCGAGGCCGCCATGGCCCCTGAGGGGATGGAGGTGGAGCGGGGCGCCCCCTGCTGGGCGGGAGTGCTCCCTGCAGCGCCCCCTGCTGGCCAGGAGTGCTCCCTGCAGCGCCGCCTGCTGGCCGCGGTTATAACTGCCACAAAAACCAACAGCGCTGAGCGGGACGGAAAGTTCTGGGTTTGTGTTGTTTGTTCTGTTCTGCTTTATAAATTTCCCAGTAAAGAGCTGGTATTCCTTTTCCTACAGTTCTGCCTAGAATCCCCATCATCTTTGAGATTGTAAAGAGTTTTTTATATGGGTCTTCTTTCTATTCCAGGAACATTCCCACTTTCCTTGGCAGACATTTCTCATTTAAAGGAGTTGCCAGTTTCTGGGTTCCAGCGTGGATGGGACAGACACCCCAAATGAAGACACAGTCAGGGACTTGGCCACCTCATGCTCTGCCTTTTAAGCCACTTGGGCCGCCAAGGGCCCTCTCCCCAGATGGCACTTCTGGTCACCCAGCCACTCAGGAGCTGGCTGGGTCAAAGCGTCATGCTGTCCCCAATGTGCCATGGCTGACAGACTGATGGACAGACAGGGCCGTGTCTCGCCAAAAGCAAGGCCTGACCCACCCCTGCCACACACAGCTGTTCCAAAATGTCTCCAGAAACCAACCTTTTCCTGTCTCTGACACCCCACCCTGTGCCATGGCCTGATCCCGACTGCCCTGGCAATGGGAGAGGCTCCGGAACCCCCACAGGGACTTTGTGTCGTCCTGGTGTTGGGAACACGGCAGAGGAGGGGTTTGGCACAGGGGACAACAGAATCCAGAGCCTCCATCAGAGCAAGGAAGATCCAGGGCCCTACCAGGTTCCTCTGGTGGAGGAAATGTGCTGGGGGGATTATTTGGGGTTTGTTCCTTATTGGGAGCTTTCCCTGGAAATCGTTCCTTGTGTGACCATTTGGACTCTGAACCTTGTTGCTGTTGCTGTTGGTTTTATTCCCTCTGGTTGCTGTTTCAGGAAATTGTTCTTCTCTCAGCCCTTTGGGATCTTTGTGCCTCCACAAGGAGGTTGAGGAGCAATTTTTTAGTGACAGCACAGACACGAGTAGGTGCCCATGGGTGGGGACCCCCAGTGCCCCCCAGTTCCCCCCCACTGTCACAGCACATTGCCGTAGATGTCATCGGGTTCCCGTGGTCGCCCCTGGGGTCCCCGCAGCTCCGCGTAGGTCACCTGGGGATCCTGGAGGGTGGTGGCACGGGGGGACGCTGCGAGAGACAGGGGCTGTGGGATCTGGGTGGGGTGACACTTGTTGGTGACGTCTCCCTCTGTGTGTGTCCCCCCCGTACTCACCCCCTGCCCTCTTGGTGACCACGACGTGGGTGTACAGCACCTCCCCCTCCTCTGGGGGTGGCGGGATATCCGGGGGTGCCCTGAGGGAATAAAGGGGATGTGGGGGAGGGAATGGGAGATCTTGGGGGTTGGGGTAAAAGGGGAGAATGAGGTTGGAGTCCCCCACTCACCTTTCCTGGTTCTTCCTTGCAGCTGCAGAGGAAAGAAAGGAGGGGTGACTGTGGGGTCCCAAGGGCCCTGAATCCTCTCATGATTCCTGAACCCCCATGGGACCCTCAATTCCCCTCAGGATCCCCAAGAATTTCTGGAGTCCCCAGAACTCAATGCCCCTGACCAACTCAGCCTCAAGAACCCAAAGCCCAGCAGGGACAGAGACCCTCCCTAACGCCCCCAGGGCCCCTGAAAGAATCCCCAACATCCCTGCAGGACCCTCCAGCATCTCCCCAAACCCTACAGCACCACCAGACAGGGTGACAATTCTGGGGCTGTGGGTGCTGCCCTATAGCTCCCCAACTTTGTGGGTCTCTACAGCTCCCTGGGACCCCCGTTACCCCATTGTCACCCACCCACACGGTGCCACCACTGCCAGGCTGCAATGACACCCATGAGCAGGAGCAGGAACAAAAGGGCCCCACTGACCCCTGCGGCCACTGCAAGAAACAGACGGGACACATCAGGGTCACCCATCACTCCTGGAGTGCTGCACCCCCAGCAACCCTGTGTGACCCCACCTGTGACCCAGGGTGAGCCAGGTGTCACCTCCAGTGCCAGCTCAGGGCTGAGTGCCCGGAACACGTGGTGCCCGTCCTGTCCCAGCTGGTTGGTGGCCACGCACTGCCAGGTGCCCGAATGTCCCACATCGATGTCCCTGAGCTCCAGGAGGGGACCCCGGGCCACCTCCTGCCCGTTGTGCAGCCAGGTGAAGGTGACAGGGGCTGAGCCCACCTGCACCGAGCAGCGCAGGGTCACGTTGTCACCTGTGTGCACCTGGTGTGCCAGGGCACCGGGGGTGATGGTGGCATTGGCCACGGGCACTGTGGGGACACAGGACAGAGAGTGATGGTGGCATTGGCCACGGGCACTGTGGGGACACAGGACAGAGGGTGATGGTGGCATTGGCCACGGGGACACAGACAGGGCTGAGGGCACAGGGAGGGGCTGGCAGCCGGTGTGGGGGGATAGGAACAATGGGGATGGGTGTGGTGGGGGATGTCAGGGATGGGGTCACACCAAGGAGGGGTGAGGGGACACAGGGCAGAGGTGGGAGGACACAAGGAATGTGTCAAGGGGACATGCAGGTCCCCAACCAGGGCACCCGGGGGTTCTGTGGGGCTCCCCGTGCCCATCCCCGCACTCACTGCGCACCTTGACGCGGAGCCGGGCGCTGCTCTTCCGCACGGTCCCACCCTGGGACTGCACCTCACAGCTGTAATTCCCCGAGTGGGAGACCCCCACGGCGGGCAGCAGCAGCTGCGGGGACCCCTGTGGGCCCCCCAGCACCCACCCGTCCCGGTAGAACAGGTACAGGAGGGGGGCTGAGGGCCGCAGGGGGCTGGGGGTGCTGCGGCAGCTGAGAGTCAGGGGGGACCCCACGGTGATCTCGGGGGGACCCTGCAGCACCAGCACTGGCACTGTGAAGAGCTCTGGAAAGAGAGGGGAGGGGATTTTTGAGCCTGAATCCCTGGGGAGGGGCTGTGGGGGTGTCGGGGTGGGGGTTGTGGGGGGCTCACCGTGCACTCTCAGTGTCACCGGCGCTGAATCCTTCCACTCCCAGGATGCCACCTGGCCCCTGCAGCTGTAGCTGCCGCTGTGGTTCAGCTGCAGAGGGGACAGGGACAGCTCGGTGCCATCACGGAGCCCCCTCAGTTCTGTCCCCCCTCGGTAGAAGGACACCGAGGTGACCTTGCTGTTCCAAGAGCCCCGGCAGTGCAGTGTCACTGTGTCCCCCTCCAGCAGCACCCGCACCGGCACCTGCAGCACCAGCCAGTCTGGGGACAGAGGGGTCCTGTCACACCCGATGGCACCAGGACCCCCCATTGGAGGGTCCAGCACACCAGGGGTCCCCAGTTCCAGCACTGGGATCCCCCCAACACTGGGATGTCCCCAGGGCAGGGGACAGGCTGTGGTCATACAGGAGGTGACCCATGGAGCGGAGCCCACCCAGAGCCCTCGGGGTCCCCACGGTGCCAGCCTGGAGACACCCAAACCCCCCTCACCGTCTGAGACAGTCACAGGGCCGCTGCGCCCACTGCCAGGTCTGTAACACTCGTAGGTGCCACTCTCGGTGACAGTGAAGTGGTCAGGTCCCTTCTGCCACCAGTGCTTCCCGTCCTTGTACCAGGTGGTGGCACCAGCTGTCCCCGAGCCCTTGCAGGTCAGTGTCACCTCGTCCCACAGCACCGCCGGCCTCCAAGGAGAATCCACCAGGAGCCGGGTGGTCTGGGCACCTGCGGGTGACAGGGGACACCGGCCTGCCAGGGTCATTGCAGGGTTGGGGACAGCGGGATGGGACCATGGCATCCCACGAGGACTCACCAGCGAGGCCGAGGATCTGGGCTGGAAGGGAGAAGGGACAGGGCTCAGTGGGGGTGGCACTGTGGGCACAGCAGCATGGGGACACAGGGGGTGTTGGGCTGCTTGGTGTCCCCAAACTGTCCCCATGGAGTCAGCAGTTCTTGTAAGAAACTGTGTCTGGTTGGTCCCGAAAAGATTCGGCGAGGCCAGGGGGACATGTCGGTGTCACAGCCACCCGTGCACCACATCCGTGTGGCACAGACACCTTGGGAACAGAGACACCGAGGCCACGCTGGGTTGAGGGTGGGGACACCGTGGACACCCCAGGCACGAGGACAGCACGGACACAGCCCATGCTGGCCCAGGTCACCCCCAGCAGCTCATGATCCCATCCCAATGATCCCATCCCCATGGCCACATCCTCACCATTCTTGTCCCCTTCTGTCCCTGCATCCCAGTTCCCTTGTCCCTATGCCCAAAGCTCCCTGAGCCCAAAGGTGCCAGTCCCCACATTCCTGTCCCCACATTCCTGTCCCCAAAGCCATCCTACATCCCCAGTCCCACCAAGGTCCTCTGTGGGTACCATGGACTGGCACTGCTGGCATTGGGGACCTCAGGGGACCCTGCAGCCCCCCTGTGCCCCCTTCCCTCCCCATCGCAGGGGTCTCAGCCCCGTGCCCAGGGCACTCACCCCACAGGAGCAGCGCCACCTTCCCGGCCATCCCGGTGTCCCCAGCCATGTGCACTGGCTGTCACTCGCTGCTGTGGCCACCGCTCCCTTGGCTGGTGGCTCTTTGGATGAAGGGGAAGGAAGTGAGGTCACGTCCGTCCCCACCTGTTGGTGGCCCTTGGTGGGGGCAGGGTGGCCACAAGCTGGACACAGGCTGGGGACATGGTGGGGGATGGTGTTGCCAGGAGTAGGGGGCTCAGGGGATGTGGGGAACCAAGGATGGGGTTCCAGGAGAATGGGGATCCAGGGGAATTGAGGTCTCCGTGCCTGGGGGCATTCAGGGATGGGGGTGCTGTGGGAACATGGTCCCCAGGCATTTGGGGTCATGGCAGGTGGTTGCCAGGGTTGGGGATGCAGGGGGAAAAAGGGGACCCTTGGGAATAGGGGTTCTGGGGGAAGAAGCAGCCCATGGGATGGGATCAAGGCAATGGTGGTGCTGGGCAATGGCAGTCCTGGGATGGGGTTCCCCAGGCATGGTGGGACACAAGGAATGGGGGTCCCATGGTTGGGGTTCCAGGGGAATGGGGGTGCCTGGGAACGGCAGTGGCTGGGTGGGCCAGTGGGTCTGAGCTCCTTCCCTGGGTGTCTAAGATTTTGGGGTGACCCAGTGCCCAGCAAAGCCCCCTTGGAGTGCTCATTTCCTGGGCAGGCATCACTTGAGGGTCCTGGGCAGCTTTGCTTCTGTGCCCTCTCCCACCCTTGAATTTTTCATCTCTTTATTTCTCTGATTTCCTTATTTTCCTCACTTTTGTGCCACGTCCCCTCACCCCCTGTTCCTGACTCAGCAATCCCGGGGAGCACCTGAGCAGGGAACGGGTTGGGGGGCAACAGGGGAGGGGAAAAACGGGGTGTGAGGGGTGCAAGGATGGGTGGGGAGGCTGTGGGGATGGAGGTGTTGGGCTGTGCCCTCTCAACAGTTTCACTTTCTTTTCCTTGGACAGGAAGGAAGCGGCCATTTGTGCTGAGAGTCAGATGGGAAAGGGAGGGGGTTCTGTTCTGGGGGGGCACATCCAGGGTGTCCTGTCCTGAGGGGATCCTGTCCCAGGGGGTGGCACATCCTGACATGGGGGGACCTTTCCCAGGGGGTGGCAGTTCCAGAAATGTCCCTGCACATTCCTGGCCGGGTGCCTGTCCCAGGGGTGGCACATCCTGGGGACCCCTGTCAATGCAAGGCTGGGGCCCAGCCATGGCCCAGCCTCACTGCACAGGGATGGCCATTGCCCAGCCCTGCTCTGGCCAGCCCCAGGTGGCAGCCAGCACCTGAGGGTCCCCATTGCCCCCTTGGCTTTGATTCTGGCAGCTTTAGAGCTGCTGCAGAGGTGAGAATTCTGTGGGGGAAAAGGCCTGGCTGTGGTTTGCTCAGCCCTGCAAGAAGCACAAAACCCAAAGGGAGCCCAAGCAGTGGCTCTGTGAGGGCCTTTGATGGTTTTCAGAGCAGGGCTGGCTGGAAATCCCCACTGCAATGGCAGTTGTGGGGATACCAGTCCAGAAATGCAGCAATTGATCATTTGTTCCTCTTGGTAAGGGACTGTGAGAACCACAAAACTACTGCACAACCCACAACATTCTGCTCAACAACCTCACCTGGACCCTCCTTCTTGAACAAAACCCGCAGCCTTCTGGAACCTGATGGAAAGAATGTTTGGGTTTGGGATGTGTCTGCCAGACAAGAAGGAAAAGTGTGGGAATACCGAGCAGGGGCTCTGCTGGCGGCCATGGTGGGGCTGTGAGGAGTGACCCTGTGTGGATTCCAGGTGTCCCCAAAGCTGCTCCATGCCTGCCCTCCTCACCTGAGGGAAAGGCTGAGGGTTTGCAGGAATTGTGGTGTAAAGCCACCATAGGGGCTGCTGTGGACCCGAGACCTGCCTGGGGTCAGGCGCTGCTTTCCTTCCATTTGGGATCACGGAGAGTGGATGTGGGTGTTGTGCAGGGTGTGTGCCTGGCCCCGGGACACTGCTACACTGCCAGTGGGCACTGGGATCCAACCTGCTGCCTTGGCGGCTTCTGCCTGCTGCCGGTGGTGGTGCTGGGAGCGATTGGTGCCCGTGAGTTTGCAAAAGGAGCGATTTCCCCTCCTCCCTCCCGTCCGAGGCCGCCATGGCCCCTGAGGGGATGGAGGTGGAGCGGGGCGCCCCCTGCTGGGCGGGAGTGCTTCCAGCAGCGCCCCCTGCTGGCCAGGAGTGCTCCCTGCAGCGCCGCCTGCTGGCCGCGGTTATAACTGCCACAAAAACCAACAGCGCTGAGCGGGACGGAAAGTTCTGGGTTTGTGTTGTTTGTTCTGTTCTGCTTTATAAATTTCCCAGTAAAGAGCTGGTATTCCTTTTCCTACAGTTCTGCCTAGAATCCCCATCATCTTTGAGATTGTAAAGAGTTTTTTATATGGGTCTTCTTTCTATTCCAGGAACATTCCCACTTTCCTTGGCAGACATTTCTTGTTTAAAGGAGTTGCCAGTTTCTGGGTTCCAGTGTGGATGGGAGAGACACCCCAAATGAAGACACGGTCAGGGACTTGGTCACCTCATGCTCTGCCTTTTAAGCCACTTGGGCCGCCAAGGGCCCTCTCCCCAGATGGCACTTCTGGTCACCCAGCCACTCAGGAGCTGGCTTGGTCAAAGCGTCATGCTGTCCCCAGTGTGCCATGGCTGACAGACTGATGGACAGACAGGGCCGTGTCTCGCCAAAAGCAAAGCCTGACCCACCCCTGCCACACACAGCTGTTCCAAAATGTCTCCAGACACCAAACTTTTCCTGTCTCTGACACCCCACCCTGTGCCATGGCCTGATCCCGACTGCCCTGGCAATGGGAGAGGCTCCGGAACCCCCACAGGGACTTTGTGTCATCCTGGTGTTGGGAACATGGCAGAGGAGGGGTTTGGCACAGGGGACAACAGAATCCAGAGCCTCTATCAGAGCAAGGAAGATCCAGGGCCCTACCAGGTTCCTCTGGTGGAGGAAATGTGCTGGGGGGATTATTTGGGGTTTGTTCCTTATTGGGAGCTTTCCCTGGAAATCGTTCCTTGTGTGACCATTTGGACTCTGAACCTTGTTGCTGTTGCTGTTGGTTTTATTCTCTCTCATTGCTGTTTCAGGAAATTGTTCTTCTCTCAACCCTTTGGGATCTTTGTGCCTCCACAAGGAGGTTGAGGAGCAATTTTTTAGTGACAGCACAGACACGAGTAGGTGCCCATGGGTGGGGACCCCCAGTGCCCCCCAGTTCCCCCCCACTGTCACAGCACATTGCCGTAGATGTCATCGGGTTCCCGTGGTCGCCCCTGGGGTCCCCGCAGCTCCGCGTAGGTCACCTGGGGATCCTGGAGGGTGGTGGCACGGGTGGACGCTGCGAGAGACAGGGGCTGTGGGATCTGGGTGGGGTGACACTTGTTGGTGACGTCTCCCTCTGTGTGTGTCCCCCCCGTACTCACCCCCTGCCCTCTTGGTGACCACGACGTGGGTGTACAGCACCTCCCCCTCCTCTGGGGGGGGCGGGATATCCGGGGGTGCCCTGAGGGAATAAAGGGGATGTGGGGGAGGGAATGGGAGATCTTGGGGGTTGGGGTAAAAGGGGAGAATGAGGTTGGAGCCCCCCACTCACCTTTCCTGGTTCTTCCTGGCAGCTGCAGAGGAAAGAAGGGAGGGGTGACTGTGGGGTCCCAAGGGCCCTGAATCCTCTCATGATTCCTGAACCCCCATGGGACCCTCAATTCCCCTCAGGATCCCCAAGAATTTCTGGAGTCCCCAGAACTCAATGCCCCTGACCAACTCAGCCTCAAGAACCCAAAGCCCAGCAGGGACAGAGACCCTCCCTAACGCCCCCAGGGCCCCTGAAAGAATCCCCAACATCCCTGCAGGACCCTCCAGCACCTCCCCAAACCCTACAGCACCACCAGACAGGGTGACAATTCTGGGGCTGTGGGTGCTGCCCTATAGCTCCCCAACTTTGTGGGTCTCTACAGCTCCCTGGGACCCCCGTCCCCCCATTGTCACCCACCCACACGGTGACACCGGTGCCAGGCTGCAATGACACCCACGAGCAGGAGCAGGAACAAAAGGGCCCCACTGACCCCTGCGGCCACTGCAAGAAACAGAGGGGACACATCAGGGTCACCCATCACCCCTGGAGTGCTGCACCCCCAGCAACCCTGTGTGACCCCACCTGTGACCCAGTGTGAGCCAGGTGTCACCTCCAGGACCAGCTCAGGGCTGAGTGCCCGGAACACGCGGTGCCCGTCCTGTCCCAGCTGGTTGGTGGCCACGCACTGGTAGGTGCCCGAATGTCCCACATCGATGTCCCTGAGCTCCAGGAGGGGACCCCGGGCTACCTCCTGCCCGTTGTGCAGCCAGGTGAAGGTGACAGGGGCTGAGCCCACCTGCACCGAGCAGCGCAGGGTCACGTTGTCACCTGTGTGCACCTGGTGTGACAGGGGACCGGGGGTGATGGTGGCATTGGCCACGGGCACTGTGGGGACACAGACAGAGAGTGATGGTGGCATTGGCCACGGGCACTGTGGGGATACAGCAGGGACAGAGGGTGATGGTGGCATTGTCCACGGGCACTGTGGGGACACAGGACAGAGGGTGATGGTGGCATTGGCCACGGGCACTGTGGGGACACAGGACAGAGGGTGATGGCGGCATTGGCCACGGGGACACAGACAGGGCTGAGGGCACAGAGAGGGGCTGGCAGCCGGTGTGGGGGGATAGGGACAATGGGGATGGGTGTGATGGGGGATGTGAGGGATGGGGTCACACCAAGCAGGGGTGAGGGGATACAGGGCAGAGGTGGGAGGACACAAGGAATGTGTCAAGGGGACATGCAGGTCCCCAGCCAGGGCACCCCGGGATTTTGTGGGGGCTCCCCGTGCCCATCCCCGCACTCACTGCGCACCGTGACGCGGAGCCGGGCGCTGCTCTTCCGCACGGTCCCACCCTGAGTCTGCACCTCACAGCTGTAATTCCCCGAGTGGGAGACCCCCACGGCGGGCAGCAGCAGCTGCGGGGACCCCTGCGGGCCCCCCACCACCCACCCGTCCCGATAGAACCGGTACAGGAGGGGGGCTGAGGGCCGCAGGGGGCTGGGGGTGCTGCGGCAGCTGAGAGTCAGGGGGGACCCCACGGTGATCTCGGGGGGACCCTGCAGCTCTGGCACTGAGAAGAGCTCTGGAAGGAGAGGGGAGGGGATTTGTGAGCCTGAATCCCTGGGGCGGGGCTGTGGGGGTGTCAGGGTGGGGACTGTGGGTGGCTCAACGTGCACTGTCACTGTCACTGGCACTGACCGCCACAACTTCTCTGACGTCCAGTATTCCACCCAGCCCCTGCAGCTGTAGCTGCCGCTGTGGCTCAGCTGCAGAGGGGACAGTGACAGCTCGGTGCCATCACGGAGCCCCCTCAGTTCTGTCCCCTCTCGGTAGAAGGACACCGAGGTGACCTTGCTGTTCTTCCAGCCCCGGCAGCGCAGTGTCACCGTGTCCCTCTCCAGCAGCACCCGCACCGGCACCTGCAGCACCAGCCAGTCTGGGGACAGAGGGGACCTGTCACACCCAATGGCACCAGGACCCCCCATTGGAGGGTCCAGCGCACCAGGGGTCCCCAGTTCCTGCACTGGGATGCCCTGGGATGTCCCCAGAGCAGGGGACAGGCTGTGGTTACACAGGAGGTGACCCATGGAGCGGAGCCCACCCAGAGCCCTCGGGGTCCCCACGGTGCCCGCCTGGGGACACTCAAACCCCTCTCACCGTTTGAGACTGTCACAGGGGGGCTGAGCCCGGTGTCGGATCTGTAACACTCGTAGGTGCCACTCTCGGTGACAGTGAAGTGATCACGTCGCCCCTGCTCCCAGCGCTCCCCATCCTTGTACCAGATGGTGCCACTGGTGGTCCCCGAGCCCTGGCAGGTCAGTGTCACCCAGTCCCACAGCACCGCCGGCCTCCAGGGGGGCTCCACCAGGATCTGGGTGGTCTGAGCACCTGCGGGTGACAGGGGACACCAGCCTGCCAGGGCCACCATGGGCACCTGCAGGTGACAGGGGACACCAGCCTGCCAGGGCCACCATGGGGCTGGGGACAGCAGGGTGGGGCCAGGGCATCCCCCGAGGACTCACCAGTGAGGCCGAGGGTCTGGGCTGGAAGGGAGAAGGGACAGCAATCAGTGGGGGTGGCACTGTGGGGACAGCAGCTCGGGCACACTGGGGATGTTGGGCAGCTTGGTGTCCCCAAACTGTCCCCATGGGGTCAGCAGTTCTTGTGGGAAAGTGTGTCCAGGTGGTCCCCAAAAGATTTGGAGAGACAGGTGGACATGTTTGTGTCACAGCCACCAGTGCACCACATCCGTGTGGCACAGACACCTTGGGAACAGGGACACCGAGGCCACCCTGGGTTGAGGGTGGGGACACCGTGGACACCCCAGGCACGAGGACAGCACGGACACAGCCCATGCTGGCCCAGGTCACCCCCAGCAGCTCATGATCCCATCCCAATGATCCCATCCCCATGGCCACATCCTCACCATTCTTGTCCCCTTCTGTCCCTGCATCCCAGTTCCCTTGTCCCTATGCCCAGAGCTCCCTGAGCCCAAAGGTGCCAGTCCCCACATTCCTGTCTCCACATCCCCATCCCCAAATTCCTGCCCCTGTTCCTGTCCCCAAAGCCACTCTACATCCCCAGTCCCACCAAGGTCCTCTGTGGGTACCATGGACTGGCACTGCTGGCATTGGGGACCTCAGGGGACCCTGCAGCCCCCCTGTGCCCCCTTCCCTCCCCATCGCAGGGGTCTCAGCCCCGTGCCCAGGGCACTCACCCCACAGGAGCAGCGCCACCTTCCCGGCCATCCCGGTGTCCCCAGCCATGTGCACTGGCTGTCACTCGCTGCTGTGGCCACCGCTCCCCTGGCTGGTGGCTCTTTGGATGAAGGGGAAGGAAGTGAGGTCACGTCCGTCCCCACCTGTTGGTGGCACCTGGTGGGGGCAGGGTGGCCACAAGCTGGACACAGGCTGGGGACATGGTGGGGGATGGTGTTGCCAGGAGTGGGGGGCTCAGGGGATGTGGGGAACCAAGGATGGGGTTCCAGGAGAATGGGGATCCAGGGGAATTGAGGTCTCCGTGCCTGGGGGCATTCAGGGATGGGGGTGCTGTGGGAACATGGTCCCCAGGCATTTGGGGTCATGGCAGGTGGTTGCCAGGGTTGGGGATGCAGGGGGAAAAAGGGGACCCTTGGGAATAGGGGTTCTGGGGGAAGAAGCAGCCGATGGGATGGGATCAATGCAATGGTGGTGCTGGGCAATGGCAGTCCTGGGATGGGGTTCCCCAGGCATGGTGGGACACAAGGAATGGGGGTCCCATGGTTGGGTTCCAGGGGAATGGGGGTGCCTGGGAACGGCAGTGGCTGGGTGGGCCAGTGGGTCTGAGCTCCTTCAATGTCCCTGGACATTCCTGGCCGGGTGCCTGTCCCAGGGGTGGCACATCCTGGGGACCCCTGTCAATGCAAGGCTGGGGCCCAGCCATGGCCCAGCCCCACTGCACAGGGATGGCCATTGCCCAGCCCTGCTCTGGCCAGCCCCAGGTGGCAGCCAGCACCTGAGCATGCCCCCTGCCCCCTTGGCTTTGATTCTGGCAGCTTTAGAGCTGCTGCAGAGGTGAGAATTCTGTGGGGAGAAAAGGCCTGCCTGTGGTTTGCTCAGCCCTGCAAGAAGCACAAAACCCAAAGGGAGCCCAAGCAGTGGCTCTGCGAGCCTTTGATGGTTTCCAGAGCAGGGCTGGCTGGAAATCCCCACTGCAATGGCAGTTGTGGGGATACCAGTCCAGAAATGCAGCAATTGATCATTTGTTCCTCTTGGTAAGGGACTGTGAGAACCACAAAACTACTGCACAACCCACAACATTCTGCTCAACAACCTCACCTGGACCCTCCTCCTTGAACAAAACCCGCAGCCTTCTGGAACCTGATGGAAAGAATGTTTGGGTTTGGGATGTGTCTGCCAGACAAGAGGGAAAAGTGTGGGAATACCGAGTAGGGGCTCTGCTGGCGGCCATGGTGGGGCTGTGAGGAGTGACCCTGTGTGTATTCCAGGTGTCCCCAAAGCTGCTCCATGCCTGCCCTCCTCACCTGAGGGAAAGGCTGAGGGTTTGCAGGAATTGTGGTGTAAAGCCACCAGAGGGGCTGCTGTGGACCCGAGACCTGCCTGGCGTCAGGCGCTGCTTTCCTTCCATTCGTGATCACGGAGAGTGGACGTGGGTGTTGTGCAGGGTGTGTGCCTGGCCCCGGGACACTGCTACACTGCCAGTGGGCACTGGGATCCAACCTGCTGCCTTGGCGGCTTCTGCCCGCTGCCGGTGGTGGTGCCGGGACTGATTGGTGCCCGTGAGTTTACAAAAGGAGCGATTTCCCCTCCTCCCTCCCGTCCGAGGCCGCCATGGCCCCTGAGGGGATGGAGGTGGAGCGGGGCGCCCCCTGCTGGGCGGGAGTGCTCCCTGCAGCGCCCCCTGCTGGCCAGGAGTGCTCCCTGCAGCGCCCCCTGCTGGGCCGGAGTGCTCCCTGCAGCGCCGCCTGCTGGCCGCGGTTATAACTGCCACAAAAACCAACAGCGCTGAGCGGGACGGAAAGTTCTGGGTTTGTGTTGTTTGTTCTGTTCTGCTTTATAAATTTCCCAGTAAAGAGCTGGTATTCCTTTTCCTACAGTTCTGCCTAGAATCCCCATCATCTTTGAGATTGTAAAGAGTTTTTTATATGGGTCTTCTTTCTATTCCAGGAACATTCCCACTTTCCTTGGCAGACATTTCTTGTTTAAAGGAGTTGCCAGTTTCTGGGTTCCAGCGTGGATGGGAGAGACACCCCAAATGAAGACACGGTCAGGGACTTGGCCACCTCATGCTCTGCCTTTTAAGCCACTTGGGCCGCCAAGGGCCCTCTCCCCAGATGGCACTTCTGGTCACCCAGCCACTCAGGAGCTGGCTTGGTCAAAGCGTCATGCTGTCCCCAGTGTGCCATGGCTGACAGACTGATGGACAGACAGGGCCGTGTCTCGCCAAAAGCAAAGCCTGACCCACCCCTGCCACACACAGCTGTTCCAAAATGTCTCCAGACACCAAACTTTTCCTGTCTCTGACACCCCGGCCTGTGCCATGGCCTGATCCCGACTGCCCTGGCAATGGGAGAGGCTCTGGAATCCCCACAGGGACTTTGTGTCATCCTGGTGTTGGGAACACGGCAGAGGAGGGGTTTGGCACAGGGGACAACAGAATCCAGAGCCTCCATCAGAGCAAGGAAGATCCAGGGCCCTACCAGATTCCTCTGGTGGAGGAAATGTGCTGGGGGGATTATTTGGGGTTTGTTCCTTATTGGGAGCTTTCCCTGGAAATCGTTCCTTGTGTGACCATTTGGACTCTGAACCTTGTTGCTGTTGCTGTTGGTTTTATTCCCTCTGGTTGCTGTTTCAGGAAATTGTTCTTCTTTCAGCCCTTTGGGATCTTTGTGCCTCCACAAGGAGGTTGAGGAGCAATTTTTTAGTGGCAGCACAGACACGAGTGGGTGCCCATGGGTGGGGACCCCCAGTGCCCCCCAGTTCCCCCCCACTGTCACAGCACATTGCCGTAAATGTCACCGGGTTCCCCTGGTCGCCCCTGGCATTCCCGCAGCTCTGCGTAGGTCACCTGGGGATCCTGGAGGGTGGTGGCACGGGTGGACGCTGCGAGAGACAGGGGCTGTGGGATCTGGGTGGGGTGACACTTGTTGGTGACGTCTCCCTCTGTGTGTGTCCCCCCCGTACTCACCCCCTGCCCTCTTGGTGACCACGACGTGGGTGTACAGCACCTCCCCCTCCTCTGGGGGGGGCGGGATATCCGGGGGTGCCCTGAGGGAATAAAGGGGATGTGGGGGAGGGAATGGGAGATCTTGGGGGTTGGGGTAAAAGGGGAGAATGAGGTTGGAGCCCCCCACTCACCTTTCCTGGTTCTTCCTGGCAGCTGCAGAGGAAAGAAGGGAGGGGTGACTGTGGGGTCCCAAGGGCCCTGAATCCTCTCATGATTCCTGAACCCCCATGGGACCCTCAATTCCCCTCAGGATCCCCAAGAATTTCTGGAGCCCCCAGAACTCAATGCCCCTGACCAACTCAGCCTCAAGAACCCAAAGCCCAACAGGGACAGAGATCCCCCCAAACGCCCCCAGGGCCCCTGAAAGAATCCCCAACATCCCTGCAGGACCCTCCAGCACCTCCCCAAACCCTACAGCACCACCAGACAGGGTGACAATTCTGGGGCTGTGGGTGCTGCCCTATAGCTCCCCAACTTTGTGGGTCTCTACAGCTCCCTGGGACCCCCGTTCCCCCATTGTCACCCACCCACACGGTGCCACCACTGCCAGGCCGCAATGACACCCACGAGCAGGAGCAGGAACAAAAGGGCCCCACTGACCCCTGCGGCCACTGCAAGAAACAGAGGGGACACATCAGGGTCACCCATCACCCCTGGAGTGCTGCACCCCCAGCAACCCTGTGTGACCCCACCTGTGACCCAGTGTGAGCC